GTGACCAAGGCAGGTAAAATCTGCTGAACGTCAAATGTTTTGTATTGGAAATGAAATCCACCTTCTGTGGTTCATCTATCTCATTTCTTGATTTCTTTTTTTTTTTTTTTCTCTTTGCTAGGCAGGTTTAGGCCTCCTCTGCATCAAAACCTCAAGGGGAAACCAGGGGTTAGTTTTCAGTCAGCAGAGCTTTTTTTCAGAAACTCCCATAGTTATCCGTCTAAAATGAGGAAATAGCAAACCTGTAAGCTGGGAAGTAAATCCTGGGTCTCTTCCCAAGCTGTCTGATGGTTTTAGGATCCTCTATAGTTCACTTTTATTTTTGTGATCATTCATTTCTAGGTGACTCTAACACAGATCAATGAAAAAGTTTTTTTTAAAAAATCCAGCGTATTAGAAGATGGTTCATCTCTGTAGATGAAACCAACACCTCTACCTTCCATTTTGAATAAATTCAGATTTTAACTGAAGTGGCCTGGCTTATTTCCAGTTTACAGTAATTCTCTTCCACTTACCTGAAATTTTCCTTTTTATACAACTCTAATGAAATGTTTGTCATCTCTTGACTGCGTGCAAAGGCTGCAAAGTGCTACAGGAGCAAGAGTGGTCATGGTAGGGACAAGTAAAGTGTTTTCTTCATAGGCAGCAATAAACTTTTCAAGAGCATCCTCCACTGTCACAAGTTTGTTTCCCTGGAAGAAAAATGGAATTTCCACAGGCTCTGATGGGAGCTGACTGAAGCTGGCACAGGTGCTTCTGTACATCCCAATGCTCACCCAACATATTCTGTATTGATACATTGGAGTAATTTAGGTTATTAGTTGGCAGGAAAGACAGAACTTACCCATAAGACAAAAAAGTGAAGCTGGAACCCTAAAAATCAGTATTATTAAACATGAACAGTGAGAGTATATGATAAGGGACATTTTATTTTCACCATGACAGTTTGTTTCTAGTGTCCTTTGATGCCATATTTTTTCTGATGTTTTTCTGGAAGAGAAGTGGCTTGAAATCTCCTGTGAAAGTGAAGGAGTGGAGAGATGAAGCTAAAAATGCTCCTTGTATTTCAAGTAATGGTTTGATACAGCTGTTTGGCAAGCACTGTAAATACTACTGCATTTTATTTCAGGGCTCAGAAGCTTCTTTTATAAGCTTATCTCCTTTATTGCTCCAAAACAGCAGCAAAATCCAACACTTTCCTATCCATATACAATGTGTTACGAACTGAATCCAGCCCAAAAACTCCTGTGGGATCTCTGTGTCTTCTGAATGTCCCAACCTCTCACGTAGGGTTAGAAAGTAGAAGCCACCTCCCTCTTTAATGTAGAAGCAGTTTAATGACCAGGAGAGGTTTTTTTTTACCCCTGCACCAATAGGCTGTGTTAAATTAATTTATTTTTTTACTACATTGTTTTGGTACCTCATAATCCTTCAACAAAGTAAGAAATGTCATAAATACAAAGTGTCATCCCATAAAATCATAGTCTTTTAGAACGGCAATTTGGGATCTTGTTCATGATCCGGTGTACTCTTCCAGTAGGAAAGGGGCAAGCTGAACTGATGCTCAATTTAAAAAAAGTGGGTAAGAAATGAAATAACTATAAGTATCCTGTTCACCAAAAGGGCAAAGACCTTCTGCAGATAAAAGAAAAAAACTAAAACTATTCTGCAATTTATTTAAGAAGCCGACAAATATGGAGAGGTGTATTACTCACTGTGATCTTACCTCATTTAAAGGGCAGAAGTGAGGAGGTTTTGCTAATACATGAAAGTGGAACCCAAAGGACTTTTTCATAGTTTGTGGATAGATCCACACCACTTGGCTTGTTTTGGAGAATGGGGATGCAGTTAAAAATTCTTGAGCAGCTTGCTTCAGTTCTCAAGCAGTATTGAAACAGGGTGCATGCCGAAAGGCAAGTTAAATTCACGTTCTTTTAAAATAAGTTATCTAATAAAAAGTAGAACTTATGTGTTATTCAGAGCTGGAAGATCTCCTGATTTATGTTGAGATACAAATAAGTCTCATTTCAGATCATTCTTTTTCCTTGTGAGTATCTGAATGACACACTGAAAAACCAACTGCAGACCACTTCTACAAACCCAGCTACAAGCAGGTGGTGCAGACAAATTGAAGAAAAAAGCCTTACTTTCTCTTGGTTCTCTATTAGAATGGGTCTTTTTCCCAAGAAATCTTCAGATCAGCACCTAAAGCACCTCATCACATGGGATTTAGATATCTCTTGGAAGCCCCATGTGCAGTTGCTGGGACCTTTACTGTAGGCTTTGCAGGGCAGAGACCTTTAGCATCTACTGTGTCCTTAAAACACCTCCTCTGCTTCCCCACTCCATGTACACCCACACTCACCCTTTCTTCTTCTCACCCTGAACTCAAAAGCAATAGAAATCTTGAACCCTCAGTGGTTGCTGGCACTGCTGTTATCCGGCAGCACTGCTACCCAAATGGTTGGAAAACAAACAATACAAATATGTATTTAACAGAAATTATGAAAATTGGACAGTACAATGTTTAACTTCTTGAAAAGCACCTTCTTCCCTCACATCAAAGGGCTCATTGATTTCTTGCTCAAGTTTTGACCAAAGTAGAGCTAGATGGGAGAAAGGAGGGGAGAAAAAGATCAAATCTAATCTGAGGATCTATGTCAAGCAACTAATTTATGGCCCATCCAGAGCTGATCATGAGACTATTCCTGAGTGTAAATACGATTTAATAAGTCTGGCAAACATCAGAAATTTGCCAGAGCATATTCTCCGGGTGAAAAATAGCTCTTCTTTTCCTTTGCTCCCTTTAGTGTGTTCTTGAACTTTGTGTTCCTTGAAATCCCAACTATTAACATTAATATAGTGTTAAGGTGTTTGACCAGGAAGATTGAGTCTGCCGATTTCAGCACTTAAAAAGGGAAACCGCTCTGATGTTTTAACCACTTCAACACTCACAATCTCTGTTTATTTTCTTATCCCATTGAACTTCTGTTCAAAATCAAACACGAAGCAATTAAGGTAAGCCTACTACAAAGCAGCCCTCAAAATATGCAGCTGTGTCCCTAGTGCAGAATGAAGGTCATGCCCCAAAAATGTAATTATACATATTTGAAAGGAATGCAGAGCTCATATACTGGGGTGACTGGTATAAAAATTAAACACCTCAACTTCACTTTCAGCAGACAGATGACTGTGGCCAAGACAGACATTGCTACCAGTACCTTCAGTGAGACACTTGTGGGAACACTGGTTGAACAAAAAGAAAAAGCACATTAGACCAAAAACATTATCTACTTAATAGAAAGGGGAAGGAAGAAACCCAATGCCCTACTAAGCTGCAAAACTGCCATAATTTCCTTTCACCTAACTCCTCTTTGACTTTAGTCAGGTCACTGCCTTGCTGACAAAGAGGAACATCATGGAAATAAGCATCTAATGACAACAGGAGACAAAGCAAAGTCTTAACACAGGATTTAGCTAATTATATTTTGGGCAAATATTTATTTATCTAAAAACAAAATAAAAATCATTTTTAAGAGAAGAATGTATTTAAATAAAAAACAAAATTGTGAAATGTTATGGCACAGAAGTTCAAGACACGTATAAATCCAGTTGCCACAACTGTTGCGTATTAATGTTGCACATTTTTCTATAAAGACTTTATTAAAGTTATTTACATGGCAATAAGATGTGTAAATATATACAGCAATCTGGGGACAACTTTTTTGGGGGATCCTCATATGAAAAAAATGCCTTAAATACAAAATTTTAAAAGAAAAAAATTGGAAGAGTTCATCCCCAAGCATGAAGAATGTCCCAACATCCCTTATGCCCAAAGTATTAATTATGAGGCAGTTTTGAGGTTCTGGCCAAACTCTTGGGAGCTTCAGCCAAGGTTGTGTAGTCTCAAATCGCACAGCATGCAGTTGCAAAAGTTCCATTCTCGATGGACTGGTGTAGCTCATGAATGATATTAGAATCATTAACATTTTATCATCGTTTCAGTCTAGTTTGGGGTATTCTAAGTGACACCCAAGAGTTCCTATGCACAAGAGTTCCTTAGCTGCTCAAGTTTGTGTTTCAACTGTTCCCTTCTCCGCCTCAACTGCTCTTTCTCTGCGATCAGTCTGTGCTCATCCGACTGGATGGAAAGTACGTACTCTGTGGCTTTTTTCAGGATGACAACCTTGGGCGCCTTTTCGTTGTTGGCCACCTCGGGTATCTGGTCACGCAAGGCAAAGAAACTCAGCTTCAGCTCATTTCTCCTCTGGCGCTCCAAGACATTGTGCGTTCGCCTCTTGTCGTTCTCTTCCGAGTCTGACGTGCGGGGACTTGAGCATTTTCGGTTATTGCTGATCTGTTTGAGAACTCTGCCACTGTCCAACTTTAGCCTTTTTGCAGCTGGGTATTCAACCTTGGTGGAGGGAGGAGCGGCATAGTTGTGCTGATGGATGTTGACGTGACACCGTTTGAGAACCAGTGGGCTGTGGTGGGGCTTACTGTGCTCTTCTGATGTCTCTGTGCTGGACTCTGTGCTGGACTCGGATTCGTTTGCTTCAGCTAATGTAACGACATCTATTTCCTCATCTTCCTCTTGCTCTTCTTCTGCAAGGGCGGGGGGGG